GATTCTCATAAGATGTTGGACCCTATTTAGAGGTGTTACTAACGTCAAGAAAACCTGGAAAATTCCAAGTGGCCGGCCGATTGGCCCTGCCCGAACCCACGACTACCAAACTATCAGTGTTCAGTGGTTTTATCTACTCAGCTACTGAAGGGCACTTATTAGAATTAAGAAAATACAGTGTAGAAATTAAAAAACTCGAGTTAGATGTGGAAAATTAAATACTGGCGGTAAAGGCTATTCACAGGTTTTCACAGGCTAAACCAATTTTGATTCTACGTAGTCGTGTGCTATATGCTACTTGTCTCAGTAATGATATAGCGCGTCAATTTTGCGCTATATTCTTTGTCGCAGTAATTAACTGAATATAATTCTTACAAAAAAGAAATAATTTTTAAAAATTTTATTTTTTTTATAAAAATTGTATTTAGTTTGTTATTTTGTCAACTTTTGCCAATAGATGGCGCTACGTGTAACTCAGCAAATCGAATGTAGATAAAAATTAATTGAATTATAAAAATGCAATCGATATTTTGGGACAGGATTAACGACATTATCTAAATTAGAGTTATTTGAACGTAACTGCCGAGTGTCGTAGCAATTGATCGAACGGCCTAGGAATATATAGCGAACAAACAAACATTCTCATTTATATATATAGATTAGGCGATGTTTCCGCCTAAAAGTAATTATATTTACTTTTCGTGTATATATAAAACAAAACTTACAAAATAATAAATTCAAGTCGTTTTACAGTTAATGTTTATCAATATTCGTTGGGTTTCCATTATTTTCACTCCAATACATTGGCGTGCTGTCCTTGGAAGCGGTGGAAGCGCCGCTTCCCTTATATTTTCTAAAATATAAATACATATTGCGCGATTATTTTCATATTTTAACGTACTTTGAATTAATTAAAATTAATATTTTATTATAACCGCATTATGTAACTTATTGCAAATTTCTACACTATGTGAAAAAATGATAAGATTGCTTTTGTATATTCGAATATCAGTGGCGGAATGGAAGCGCTGTATTGTCGAATACGGGACAGCTTACAAGCAGCCAAGTTATACGCATTTGCGCATGCGCTTTATAGAGCACCAACCTCAAGCGGTTTAGCTGGTGGAAGCTACACCAAAATATCGTATAACGCTTCCAATGATTCTATCTAGGACCAGTTCTCGCCATTGCTCCAACACCATTCACTAAAAGACTATGTCTATAACTACTTGACGTCATAAACTTGTTAATCAATTACAGAACAGAAAACTACTATAGTGGTGAAAACTAATTGAGGAAAAGAAACGCAAACCCTTAAATATTTCGATTTAAAGATAAATGGATTTAGGCCACTTTCAAAATAAACGACTCAATTATAGACTCGAAATCCCTTTGCAGTAAATAATTTCTTTAATAAGCACATTTATTTAGTATATAAAATTACACATATATTAATTTTGCGTGTACAAGTAACGAAAGACAAATTGAAGCAGAAATTCATACTAACTTATGATAATGAATTTTAAAAGAAAAATAATACAGGAGTAAGTAAAACAAATGAATTACTGTATTTATAATTCAGCAGAAAAAAAAATTTTCCTGCATAGACTGGAGATAACTTTCATTTTTCTGACGATGATTCATTGTGTCTACAGATCAGTTGTTTGGTCATCCTCTTCAAATAAACACTTCGGAGGAGGAACACTTCAAAGTGTTTCATGTCCAAATGTATTCGAAATTTTGTCTATTTCGTGGGTGAAAATTTCGTACTCAAGAATGCTCCTAGGAAATGCCTTCCTGTCCATTTTGACGAAAACGTCATAAAGCTCCTTCACAAATGACATTTTTTCTTCAGGAATTGCTCGAATCGACATAAAATTTACATTTTCTTTTGACTTCTCCAGATTCTTTTCATAGTAATGAAAATTAGGGTCAGGGATTGATCGGACTTTTTTTTATTTTTGTTCTTGTTTCTTTTCGTGAAGGAAAATAAACGTTTTGGTTGTTTCGAGTTTGATTTCAATTCTTTCTTGGAAATTGGTAGCAGTGGCTGCATTTCACATTCCTATTCTTCCTCTTCTTCATTCAAACGAAGACTCCGTCAGTAAAATGATTTCAAATATGTTCTGTTTGTGTGTATTTATGAAACTTCTCGTTATCGGACTTTGGAAGTTTCGGTTTTGTCGTCAGAAAATGTTGTTATATGTCACTTCCAGTTGTAAATTCTAATCTGTTCACCTTTTCTCGGTTAATGTGTACCGTTACGACACCGCACGTCCATTTTTCTACTCGTTGTATTCAGAATCTAATTTACTTTCTTGTGACGTAGAAGATGGTGTGTGTTGTTAAAATTACCCGCCTGACTTACAATAACGTACAATAATATAATATGTGTTGTCCCAGACATTCGGTAGTGAATATTCTTCCGGTATTGCTTTCCAACTTGATGTTATTGTTTATTCAGGTACTAGTGTTGTTTTTTTGCACTAGAATCTAATGACGTGCTTTAGGTTTCTGATATTCTTTCTTAGGAAAATTAAAATGTCCGATTTTCTTATCTGGTTCAGTCTTTAGAATTTGTTTTGATTAGAAAACTCGATCCATTTCTTTGGAGTTTCCGTTTTCTTTCGGTTGCTCGGATCGAATCTGAATTTTTCCATCTTTTCACTCGTCCGCTGGGTGAATGTCGTCACGTCCGGTCCAAAATATTCCTTTTATATTACTTTCACTCGGAAGTAATACGAAAATAATCGTAAAAACAACGAAAATCTTAATCATTTTCTAGTGAATTGCACAAATCGCCTCGAAATCACTTCAACAAAGAATTGCCTTGTTGACGTCTCAAATCTAGCAAATGTTTTATTCTAAAAATATAAAATTATTAAGATAAATTTCCATTTTCTATATCACCGACACAAACTGCGAAAATAAATGTGAAGATCATTCGACATGTTTTCTCCTATGTTCTACACTTAAGTGCCGTTTAATTAAATTCCTTTTGAAAAATAATTGTTTACTGTAGAATAAACAAAACTATTTGTAACGAGCGATTATTTATTGTGACTTGGTCATAATGCCGGCCTGCAACTTTTCATCACAATGTTCTCAGTTCTTTTAGTGGTGGTCTTGCCCCAGTACATCATACTTTTTTTGTTAGCAATAGAGTCGTATCGGTCATATATCTAACTACGGGGAAATTTTGAATCGAAGGTAACATTATTTCGGTTGTAAACGGGAAGTTCGTATATAGTTAATCTGGGCCTTTTGCCTTAAGCTTTCCACATCGGGTCTCGACTTTCATATACCTAACTCTTTTCTCGGGATTAAGGAAGAACAGATAGGTGACGACAGTGGAAATTTATAGATCTATAATTTTTTCAAATTGCAGCCCAATAATTTTCCCATAAACGCAATATTTACGAGAATACACTTCCCATGTAATTTATACAGTCTGTTGCCAAAATGTAATCACTTTAATATCACAGAAAAGCGTGTGTAACTTTGTGCTTTTGTACTCCAGCACATTCCGGGTTGGTATTTTCAGCAGCTTGTGTCGGTAGCCCACGTGCATAGTTGTCAATTGCTCGCGTTCTCTATCTCCCTAGAGGCAGTACCATGTGCGGGCTTAGGCTTATTTTCTGTATATATTTTGACTATACTGTTATCTGTGGACTATACCCCATGTGTTTTAACTAAAGTATACTCAATAAATGGAACGCGAGGGTGCCATGGTTCCCACTTCACACTTTCCTATCATTGCTTACTTTTCTTCCCTTTTCCTCTAAAACTCTTCATCCTTCCTTTTCAAAGGCTATGCCGTAAGGTTCGGCCTTCTAACACTTTTAAACATATATCATATCATATCATATCGGACCAGCGGTATGGTAGCATTCAAATCGGAAAATTACGTAATACAAATTTACCGGTAAGCGCCGGCTAATTTATCAATGTAGAAAACCGTGACTTCTCTCTCCAACCAACTACTCGAGATTACGTCACCACCTAAATTTCGCGTTGAAACTGCGATGAGGCGAACTGGCCCTAATAGTTAAACCTCCAATTCACGGGAATTATTTTCAGACAATTCTATACTGACCAGGAAGACGAGTTAGTCTATCTTACATCATCAAAGACTCACCCTTCCTTTGTAAAATAGGGCTGGCAGAAATACAGTTCTTAATACTGCATGTTGACGTGTTTTTACATTTTTAATACTCGCCCTTCCTCTATCATCGCAGATACAAACGAATCCCTCTCTCCCATAAACTACTGACATAATACTTGAATGGTCTCTATATGTGATAATTAGGAATTTAATAAAATAAAAATGATAGCTTTTTGATCAATTGGTGCCTATGGCTGAAGCCATATTGAAGATATCTTTGCTACATCATTGATTAAAACTAGAAAATAATTCTGAATTTCTATTGCTTATTTGTTTGTAATACATCTAGCGATCTGTATAACCGAATTTAAAAATTTTAGGAAGTTGTAAACAATTATAACTAGAAACTAATGACGATGATAATTATAAGTTCCCTCTATTATATAAGAAAATTAATTTTATAACACACTTTATATAAATTCATGCAATTTTTGAATCGTATGCTTTTAGAGTTATAGATAATGCATTAGAAATTATAATTTATATTGGTTTTGAATATCATTATCATACAAAGTTTATTTCATTACATAAATAGGGTAGCAAAATTTTTGGTTTTATGAGTAGTCTCTGACAGACCATGACAAATCTCCAGCTGAAAATAGAGTGGAAAAAATGGTATTCAGTTGCTAGCAGCTCAGCAGAAAGTGCACAAAAAATACAGAAATTTTAAAAATATGTATTCACAATATTTTGTAACCATTGAGATTGCAAAGTAGGAAACTTATAGGGATGGTGCATTAGGTTATGAAAGTTACTAGTGGATGGTTTGATCGAGATGTTTTAGGCCATGTGGGCATGTTGATTTGATTGTTTGCAAACAATAGAAATAATAGAATCAATTATTTTAAATATTTTATTCTATAGTCAATCAATACAATCTCTTAAGAATCTTATAAGGTGTCATGCAAAGAATATACAAACTCTAAAAATATTTACAACTTTAAAAAATTATCTAATATAAATATAAATTAAAGCTATAACCATAATGTTTTGCTAAGGCTGCCATGCTAAAAATGTGCATTAAACTTGTTTCCATAAATAGTCAAATGTTTCTTCTTTAACCTTCTCAGTTGAAATGGCACAATTTAATAATTATTAAAGTTCAAACTATTTACAATATTGCACAAGAATCTGCAGATAAGGGCAGTTTTTTATAGTTTTAAATATCTAATAACAAAGTTTTATTTTGTATAAATACATTAAATCTAACTTTGAGTGTTCGTAATTCATAAAAAATTGAGTTTTGTGCAGTTTCCTCAATAAAAAGAATTTGTTTTTACAAACAAACATTTTCATTGCCTCGTCTTATTTACAGACAAAATTAAAACTTGTGTTTTCGGATAAAACTAAGAAAAAACTTTATAAAAACTGACTATCGTCTTAATTTTTCTTATTATAAGGCTCAAAATATGTAAAAATCTGAACATGAAAGACAATGTGCAAGTGATATCAAATGTGCTTCTGCATGTGATTATCACAGTATGCAATAATTGATATGTTTTGTTCTATTCACATGCTAATTTACTATCGAAACTAGATAATGCTACAGCAAATGCTTGAAGAGCACACATCGGATAGCTGTAGTCCATGGTGAAGTGATCTTCTGCCACCCGTCCAAACTGCATCACAATATAATCAACTGAAATCAGAAAAATTGGAATGTAATATTAAAAAACCAATTGCGGTTTAATGTGTCCTTGTTTCACACCTACCGTCATTATCGTGAACAATTTGAAAGTTCTTAACAGAAGCTTGTGTCACTCTCCCATGGAAATTTAAGACATATGATTGCGTTTCTGTAAAGAAATTATTTAAAAATTATTTTTAGATATACTGTAGTATGTAAGTTTACATTTATTTTTAAATGATTTTATAAATTACATAAATGAAATTTAATTTATTGTAATGAATAACTGATTACACCAAGTGACACAAAAATCAGTTAATTGTACCTGTGTAATTTTTGCCTGAAAGACTATGAAATGCAAAGGTGTGTTAAAGCATTCCAGTTTATGTGACAAGAATGATTTCATTTTGAACAACTGTTGAAGTTAGTAAGTAATAAAATACTGTATTTGAATAAGAAAATAGTTTAGTTTGAACAATGGTTAATTGACTTCTGGATCACCTTGTACTTACAATTTTGAAATCACAAAATTATTTATTTAATATAATTATACAATGATTTCAAAGTTATTAATTGCTAAGTAGACCAATAGTTCAATCAAAGGCAGTACCATGTGCGGGCTTAGGCTTATTTTCTGTATANAAATCTATAAAAAAATTAAAATAAATTTAAATTTGATTATTTTTTATGCAAAACAATGCTGAAACAATTCTTTTGTGACATAACTATTGAGTAAAAGATTTGCAATTAATTAAAAAAATTATAATTAAGGGTTTAAAAATGCAGGCAAAATTAATAAATATTAATTAAAATAAATAATATCAAATTAATAATAATTATAAAAACTAAAAGTAAATTATTACTAAATAAATTTAACCTTAAAACTAATTAAAACTAAAAATAATAACATAATTAAAACTCTGGCCTTTACACTGAAAATGAATTAGAAATAAAATAAAAATTAATTAAAATCAAATTAATTTTTTAATTTATGTTATTTGTCTGTGATGGTGATGGAACATTTTGCTTTTAAAATATATACAGATAAAAATTATTAAAAATCAAATTTAAAGAATAGTTGTTACAGAAGCAAACGAATAGCTGTCTTTTCAACTCCAAGTCTGAGTCAAAAGTGAAGTCTTTTTGTATCTTCTATCCCTACAAAAAGACCTTCCTTCCCCTTTGTTAACCCTTTCCACAAATGAAATTAATGAGTGGTCCTTTTGAAAAATGGATTCTAGACCTCACCTGTGACTTGGTGTGACTTACTTACACACTGCTTCTTTGTAAAGTGTTGGTTTCAGTTTCTGTGGGGATGAGACATTTTGCTTTTAATATAGACTATATACAGATTTCCTTTGTTCCTCAGAACAGAACTCAAAGTGGATAGTTTCTAAATTAATTGATCTGGAAGAGAGGATTAAACAGAGCACAGCTGGCAACACATCTTCATGGTATCATGAGATGCAGGTAGAATCCTACTCTGAATTGATCTCTTTTAGAATAATTTATACTAACTAACTTATTTCTAATTATTAAATTTAACACAAAATTGCAGCTTAACTGTCTTCTTTTAGTCCAGTGTTCCCAAAATGGGTGTTACTACACCCCAGGGGATGGTAGAAATGCTCTAAGGGCAATAAAGGACAAGGGGGGACTAAAGAAATTTTGAACTACAAGGCAGTAGTCTGAAAAGTTTGGGAAACACTGCTTTAGTCCAAAGTAAATAATATCTTTATAATTATTTATTGTGACGATGTCAGGCTGCAATTTGTAAACATATTCTTAATTTATTCAATTTAAAACGTATATTTTCCATCTGAAATTTGTAATATCTTGCCCCTGTACATCATACTTTTCCTGATAACAACAGAGTCATCTACATAACTCCATTCAGCAGAAAATTTTTGAATTGAAATCAAATGACTTCTGGCCTAGACTGAAAGTTCATATATAGTTAATCGAGACCTCCTGTCCCTAAGCTTTCCATATTTAGTCTTGACTTTCATCTATCTAACTCTGTTCTCAAGATTAAGGAAGGACAGACAGTGGGAATTTATAGGTCTACAATTTTTTCAAATTGCAGCCCAATCAACTAACCATACTATAACCTGATTAAAATTTTGTGATATTGTTTGTTCATTACTATATGTGGGTGCTTAGTTTATACATAATTATATAAGAAATTAAATGTTTTCTTTTTCTTTTTTTGTTTTTCAATTTTCTGAAATATTATGAAGATAAAAAATAAATCAATTTAATCTAAATTTTCTCATCATAAAGTATTAATTGACTGAATATAATAAATAAATTAGAGACAAATCAGTTTTATTTGATAAATGGATAAAATTAATCACATTAATTTGAGGAGAAGTAAATTACATTAGAGTTAAATCAGAATTATACATCAAAATGATATTATTAGAAATATTAATTATATTAATAATCCATTATATTTATTATTTTGTGAAATAATTTATTATTAGGCTATGCATACAGTTTTCTTTTGTAGAGATCAAGACAAAAAATTCAGCAACGAGTTGCTTGATTTCCCAACAACAATATTTAAAACTGCCATATATTACAGTATTTTATGTAAAAAAACTTTTCATTTAATTATTATAAAATGGCAAAAAGCTTAATTTTGAGGGTAGAGACAAGTTTCATAAAAAATTGTAAATGCTAATAATGAGTAAAATCTTCATTAAGTTTGACCCTATTGGAAATACAATACTCAATCCCCCATATCTCCTCACCCCCTTGACCTTTAACCATCAAAATTTAATAGCATCAATCTCCTAATAAACAAACCTCCCTGCAAAATTTCAGAATATTTCACAAAAAGCACAGGAGTTAAGCTTCAAAGTGGACTTGTACATAATGGCCACCATCTCCCACACACAGAAAAAAACCACAAAATTGTTTTTGCAATTCTCAATGTTTCAAGGTCTAAAGTCTAAAAATGAAAAATCTCGGGGGGAATTATTTTTTGACTGATTGCTATACTTTCCTTCTGTTATATAAAATGGAGACAGGAAAGCAAAAATTTCCACTAAAACCCTAGTACTTTTGGGCTTTCTAGTTCCAAAGTTCTGGTTCCAAAATCATTATAACAGAAGAATGGCAAATTCTAATACTGCATATTAAAAAATGTATATCCTTCCACACATCTAATTAGCTTCTGTCCAACAGAAGATGGAATATTTTTTTATTTTGGTAACCCAGAGGATGTGCTTTTTCATTTTTCATCAGTTGTGAACCTGAAAAAAGCCCACACAGGGTAACTGTGTGGGCTTTTTTCAGGTTCACAACTGAGCAACTGGATGGGAAGAGATATTGACATTTGAGCACTAAAATTAGCTTTTCTTTATTGCTAGACTTATTACACCACCACAGGACATCGGATTAACATTAGAAAATCACTTTATTATTTCAAGAAGAATGCATTTTGGACCTGAAGTTCTCACCAGCTTGTTGTATAATAACTATATTTTAAGAAAAACCTGTAAGTTAGATTATGTTGACAATAAAGAAATTTTTTGGTTGTAATTCAACTTACATAATTGTGAAATTGATGTTAGCACATTTACAAAAAGTACAACAAAATTATGACAATTGGTAAAACAACTATGTACTAAAGTATTGATGACATATCAGAATTACTGGGCATTTGCTACAATATTAAAAGGATGTGAACGATTTCAAAGTACCGTAATTAACATAACCGAAAAGGCTGTAGACTTACATTTAACATTGATTTGATGCTTAGAATATTAAAATTAAACATGCAATAAAACAAAAAATTGTACATAATAAAAGACACTGCCAATACAATAAAATAGGATAATAAACTGAGGAACTGTTAAAACAGTAAAGTAATAAATATATTCACTGTTAAAACAATAAAATAATAAGCAGATTCAATGTATTTATAGAATGAACAAAATGAGAAGATGATTCAAAGTACATTCCAGAATAGCCATCACCTTCTCCCCTATCCATTTACACACTCCCTAGTCTGATGTATCCAGGACAAACTGTCTGAAAAATTCCTGCCGTTGCTTGCCTGGATTCAATTCCATTTCTCCTACAGCAATAGGCCAACACTTTGACTGAGCTGTCCTGTTGGTATTCCAGAAGATGAACTAGGAAGTATAACATACCAGGTTTTTGTTGGAAGTTTTTATCTTGGTCTCCAAAAAAGAAAAGAGCTGCATAGATTATGCTAAAAAAATTAGAGACATAAATTTGATTGATTATGCTACTTTTACTCTTGAAGTTTAGAGGGCAATCTTTGAGAACTCTATTCTAAAACTAATGCAAAGATGGTAAAAACATTAATCACTAAATTAAAAAAAAGTTTTTTCTGATTAACAAAAATAGTTTGATTAAATTGTTAATTTTATATCTTCTACTAATAATATAATATAATGAAACCTTAGTTATGCATTTTGTACTTATGTTTCATTTGACAGATCCTGACTAAGTCTGATATAATCTGATGTAATTTTCTTTCATTTATTTGTTTTTTGGAGTGCAATTTGAAAAAATTGTAAACCTATAAATTTCCACTGTTGTCCATCTGTCTGTCCTTCCTTAATCTCAAGAATGGTGTTAGATAGATGAAAGTCAAGATTAGATATGGAAAGCTTAAGGACAGGAGGCCCAATTACTGTATATCACGGCAGATAAGATGATAGTTGAAGCATAAAAAAAATCCTCAAAATCTGGGGTTGTCTTATAGGACAGATACAAAAAAAATTAGATTGAAATTTATATAAATTAAAACCATTATAAAAAGACAGACAAACCGTAATTATTTACTAGAAGAGAGTAGGGTATGTGCACAAAATAGAATAGCCCATACAACGTTTTTGTGAATAGTCAAGGTAAGGTCATTACCCAAATGCCGAATCAGTGCCAATGTTTGCAACAATCGCAAGGCGGTTCTGCCAGATGCAGGAAAATAAAATTAGTTCATTCGAAAAATTACAGATAGGACATAATTCCGTATATACCATACAGTACTGTATTATTATTCAGATGATGATCGCTGATTCTAAACTAAATTCATAGGTCGTTGATAGTTTGGGATCATCTTATAGGACAGATATATGCTAAAACTATAAAACTTCAATGAAAATTTATACCTCGTCTTATCTGCCGAGATATACAGTAACTATACATGAACTTCCAGTCTAGGCTAGAAGTCATGTGATTTCAACTCAAAAATTTTCTGTCGAATGGAGTTACAAAGATGACCAACATGACTATGATGTACAGGGGGCAAGACACTATTAATTTGAGATTGAAAACATAAATTTTAGATTAAATAAATTAAGAATATGATTAAAAATTGCAGCCTGACATTATTACAATGTCAGAATAATTTTTTCCCGTTCATTTATATGTTTAATTTGTCAGTCCCAATACAATGCAAAAATTCATTTATATGTTTTTGTTGATTTTTACTTTTTATCAAATTGAAAGATATTCTCAGTTTTGAGTATTTTTACATCTCACTCTTCAAATCATGACTGCTGTCTCTCATAAAGTAGCCTTTCTTATTCAGTTGTAAAAGTAGTGGGTGATCACAAGAGAGAGTGCATCTTTTTCACTAATAGGAAGGGTGAGAACAATTAGAAACAGTTTTTAAGCATAGGAAGTTTAAATGAGGTATATAAATATGAAGTTAGTTAATTTTCTTATGGCCCAATGGTAACACTTTAAAGTTAGAAATAGCTTAATTGTTAAAAATCGATCAAACTGATTTTCTTGAATATCCTCAATTTAATGTTCAAAAACTGAACCTTTCTAAAATTTTAATTTCATGCTGTGATAGATTAGAAAAAAATTTAGTGCACTAATGTTATAGTAAATAAGTAAGGTTGTTTATTTGTCATTCTATTCCAAACATTTTTTTTATTAGATATATATTTATAGCTTAATAAATATTTGGAATAAATGAAGATGAAATAAACAATATTAAATACTTTACAAAAATAGTTTTTATTGAAAGTATTTGCATATAAATTCAAGATTAATGAGCAATTATTTATTGTGATGTGGTCACAATGCCAGGCTGCAAAATGTACTCTCTACCTCAAATTAGTAGTGGCTTGCCCCTGTACATCATACTTTTCCTTTAGCAATAGAGTCATGCCAGTCATCTATCTAACATCCTTCAAGGATGATTTTTGATTTGAAATAACATGACTTCTGGTTTGCATCGGAAGTTCTTATGTAGTTAATCAGGGCCTCCTGTCCCTAAGGTTTCCATATCTGGTCTCGTCTTTCATCTATCTCCATTCTCAAGATTAAGGAAAGATAGATGACAATGGAGAATTTATAGGTCTACAATTTTTTCAAATTGCAGCCCAAAAATTTTATTTACTGTATTTACTTTTCCAATATTATGATTATATTTAATAATGTATCAAAACTGCACCAAGTCGTGCACCAAGTCGTGACATAGAATTAGAAGAAACAATGTATCAAAACTTGATTAAAAATGATGTTTTTTCAATTAGTACATGCACACGAATAATATATCCGCCCCTTAAATGAGGATTCTGTGTCCTATCTGGCTTGTCCATAAAGGAAGAAAATTTCCAGTAATGTGTTTTATTTTTAGATGAGCTCATCAAAAATATATAACTAAGGTTTTATGTTAGTGAATATTCATTTCTTTTATTATTCTATACAAAGTTTAATTACAGGATTTTTAAATACTTGGGGACAATATGACTTCTTCCAGAAAAATATGAGGATGCTTCCCAGTGAAAACAGGGACAATTCCATGGACATGCAAAGGATATGTAATTTTTACTCTGCTAGTAACAGAAATACATTTAAAATGTGAAAAATTAAATAGATATTTTATTCTAAAACCTGTTCCAACAATTACAGAAGAAAATTGCTAGGATTGACATTCTGATTAAGTTCTTTAAAGATGGGTGCATGTGGTGGCAATTGACTGTCGATGAATACTACAACCAATTGCCTCTTCACCTTGACAGTTATAAGAGATGATTGATTAAATCCAATCTTGTCCAAAAAGTTAAGGCAACATTGAATTGCCTTAACTTTTCCATCCAAGTGCATATGCATTAAGCATCTTTTTAGTGAAATATCATTGAAATAGAATATTCCATACTCCCAACCTCACAGTAATCACTTATTTATGCCACTTCATTTTTTTGTTACAACACTAACATTTCCTTCTTCCATGACTTCTAGCAAGGATTATCAATGAAAGCAAAAGTGAAAATAGTTACATAACAATACAAGACAAAGGATTAAAATAAAATAACAAAGAATAAGGAAAGAATGAAAAGTTGCAATCCTGTCTCTAGTTGAAGGAATGTATGAAAGGAAGAACACACATCACAGCCTCAAATTAGTCCAGCAACACAATTTAAAAGTTCTATAAATGTTTTTTGGCCTACCCTTAAGACCTTCATCAAGTAGAAGTCCTTAGTGGTAGACTAAAAAACGTTTATAGAACTTTTAAATTGCGTTGCTGGAATAATTTGAGGCTGTTTATGTGTTCTTCCTTTCATATATTGTCCAGTTCAATCAAAAAAATTAGTTTGGATGCAAATATGGCAGCCAGAAAAATCCAGAACAGGCTGATAAATAATGCCAAAAACCAGGCCATTTGGCATCCCTATTTAACTATAAAATTCATAATTAGGTCAGATTTCAAATATTATGCAGAAAAATTGATCATCAATAAATAGTATAATATGTAATACTGTATTTATATTTGTTTAATCAAGAAGAAAAACTTTAATTTTTAAAAAATATATAAATATGCAATATTTATAAAAAATTAACTAGTATTATTTTACATATATATTAAAAAATAAAGTAAGTCCCAAAAATTGTCAAAAGTATACATAAATTATACAAATTTTATAATTTGCATAATTTATGTATACTTTTGACATTAGTATACACAAATTATACAAATTTTATAATTTGCATAATTTGTGTATACTTTTAAATTATAAAATTTATTTGTTTAATAAATAAATTTTGAGATCACAATCTATTAATAAGTCTTATTAATATTTTATAAATACATTATAACATAAAATCTAATGTTTGTTTTTGTAAAATACGATTGGTGGAAATACACTATTAACAATTTAAAACACACAAAACATATAAACATACTAAAAGTATCTGTTTAACATTGTTATTAAAATTTAACGTTTATACAGCTGTAATTCTTAAGTTTTTTTTGATAGTATAATTGCAAACAACATTATTTTATCCAATGCAATCACTACCTTTTTCGGCTGTTACTTTCAAATTGCAGACTTATACATTCACTGTCATCTGCCTTTCATCCATCTGTTCTTCACTAATCTCAAGAATGGATTTAAATGAAAATCAAGACCAGATATGGAAAACTTAGAGGCTGGAAGCACTAATTAACTGTATACAAACTTCTGATCTGGACTGGAAGTCACATGATTTCAATTCAAAAGTTTCTCGAGAACAGAGTTAGATAAGTGAAAATTGAGACCAGATACAGAAAGCTTATTTTTAAATTAAAATACAAAAATTGCAACCTGCTTACGTTGATGTCACAGTAAGTAATTGCTCGTTAGTATTTGATACGTACTGCCTGAAACAATCAGCTACAAAATCAGCAGCAAAAATAATTGGATGTGTCAAGAGACGACACCACTAATGACTTTCTGTCATTTTTGTTACACTAATTGATAAAAAAGTAGTCAGTTTTTCTTGATTCAATAAAATCAACACAAACAACATTGTTTTGAACATTTCTGACATTCTATAATTTTATTATTAGTTTGAATTAAAGTAAGTTGAATATATTAAAATTCCTAACTTTTATAAGTATTTTAAACATTTTTGTTCTTTCTTCACTTTAAAATAACATGGATAAAACAATAGCAAAAACACTTAAATGACATAAAACTAATTTTATTATGGGCTTGTTTTATCAGTAATAAGTTAATTGGAGGATTTCAAGATCATTAATTAAGTAGAATTTGAAAATTTAATTTCACAAAGTAATGAAAAAATAATTCTGATAGTTCAGTCTAACAAGTTTTTTCATGTTCCTAATTAATTAAATTTTCACATGGAAAATAGAATGCATGTACAGGGTGACCGTAATTAAACTCTCCCTATTCAGAACACTCTGAAACTGTAACTGATAAAGAAATTGGCATCAATATTTGTATATAGACTATAAAAAGGGATATAGAAAGGATTTTGCATTAAAAAAGTTCAAAAACTTCTAATCAGGAGCATTTTACAGGTAAATACACAAAACAAAACAATTAAAACACATTTATTTGTTCTGTAAGAGACATATCTCTCTTGAAGAGATAGTTTATTGTAAGGAATGCTGCTCAATGCATACCCCATTATTTATGTATAAAAAGGTGATGAACAACGTGTTCTTCAATTCACTGCAACTGCTCTCCAGATTGGTCTTCATTATTTACTGTATTTTGTTTAATGTATTTTCCCACAAAAATTTTTGAACTAAATTTATTTTTTTACAAAATCCTTTTCTGCATCCTTTGCGCAGTCTGCTTACAAATTTTGGGGTCAATCTGCTTATTGGTTATAATTACAGTGTGCTCCAAATAGGAAAACTTTAATTATGACAACCCTGTCTACAATAAATTCTATGAGCATGTAGAATAAAGTAATCTGCTATCTTCTTATTTTCATAAAAATTATGCTTCCTAATATATCTTACTCCATAGCTACATAAAATATAGTTTTATCAGAAATTAAATTCTGAATAATTTGGTACTAGAGATAGGCTTTAAGCACCATCTCATATCAAATTTAATAAATATAATTAAATTAATATTTATTAAATAATTTAAATATTCTAGAAGAAAAGAGATTTTGAGAAATGATTAAACCTTTACAATTCCCTTCCTGAAAAGCCAATTTAAAACATACAAAACAAATCTTGAAATCTGACTGCTATTATATTGATAGTTTGCATTTGTAGGTATTCCATAATATGTGTATTACAATTTTAAGCTTATTAAAAGCTAAAAAATTTTGTTGCTATTTCAATGCATGACTGATTTTTATGTAAGATATGTCAATTATAAAGTTCTAAACATTGTCTATATGAATCACAAAATTTAAAACATCTTTTAAGATTAATGGATTCTTAATCTATGTTAAATTAAACTTAATTATATTTTATATTTAAAATAAAATCCATTAAACATACTATAAAACTATAAATAATTCTTTTTCTTATGTAATAATAAACAATTACGAAAAATATGATGATAATTTGTTTTCTTGTTGGTAGATTCTGGAAAACACTCAAATGCAATCAAATAGTTGAGTTTAGTGCCTCAGAAATTATCATCATTATTGGTAGAAATAGAAATTTCAGTTCTGAATTAAATATCATAAATGTAAGTGTTGCAAGAACAAAATATATGTCTTAACTGATATCATAGGGACTCCATAATTCTTACATTTAGCTCACTGATCCCATACAAATGATCTCTGCTGATGCACAAGATTGTTTTGGTTTAGAGTAAACAAGCCAGATTGCAAACACAGTTCTGCTGGATTTGCACCATCTAGTAGTAAATTTCAGAACCTAATACAAAGATATAATGCATCATTTTCTCCCTGTTTTCATATTATTACTTATTAAATAAATTCCAGTTTATTGTTTGTCAAAAATTACTTATTCAGATTTTTACATAGAACTATGCACTTTATGCATTTGCACTTTGTAATAGCCAATGCCATTTGCTTATCTGACAAAATGGTTTTAGCAGTTGCATATCACATAATCTTACCCTCTATATTCAACCAGAAATTCATCTTGGCCAGCTCAAATTATTACTTCAGTTTTCAGAGCAAGGTAAAGAGTCATACCCAACTACCAGTGTTTAGTGGTTTTATTCATTTGGCCACTGATGGGCACTACTTGATTTTTTTATCATCTCTTAATTTAATTGAAAGTCATAAAAAGTTTTCTTTTGTTATATCTTTTAGGAGAGAACACTTTATTTATAAAATAATTTTTGCACAGTTTACTTTTTACAATCTTAATAAAAAGTAAGTAAAAATAATTACCATCATTCCAAACAGGTGTCTTATTATGAAGTTCTAATAAATTTTCCATATTTTTGCTTTTATACCTTTCGATTAAGGTATCGTGTTCCTAAAATAGAAGTATTTTAGGTTCTTTACACAATAGAAATTAAATTTACAACAATATTCAGTAATAAAACTATAAATTTTTATAATCAACCTACTGATATGGGTTTAATATCAACTCGTTTATGATCAGGTGTCATAGCTGGCAGAATTACTGTCATTTTACGGGGTCCTTTAAATCCTAATACATTAGTTTCCTGAAATACAAATGTCGATAAGTTATTATACAATATATAATATTTCAGAATTTTAAAAGCTTAAAAACTAACATATATGATAGCTGCAACTTCACAACGGTTATTAACTCTTTCTGAAAGAATTCCAGACTTTTTAGGATTTTCACCAGAATCGTAAACTGTAAATGCTGTTCCTAACAGATTTGATCTAAATTAAGTAATTTAAATGTGATTTACCATTAATTAAAATCAATTTTATTTTATATTTTAATGAATTGCTGACATGAAATGTAACAAATATTACCGTAATTTCCCGACAAATGCTTCACCTCCTCGCGATAGATCAGTGGGATCTATGGAAATTAAATAATTGGAAGTTGTGCTCTTCTTTCTTTTCCGTGCTGCTAGTAGGAATACCTAAATAGATATTTTATTAATTTTGATATAATAAATGCTTAAAGATTAATGATTTACTTGATATAAAATCAATATTCCAAATTTAGTATCAAGTTTATTCCAAAAATAGTTATATTCAATAATGTAACTTTTAAAGCAACTAATTATTAAATATTTATACATAAAAATACCTTTTTTCCTTCTTCTCTATCAAGCTGTAAAAAATAAGTGGGATATAAACCTCTGTCCATTCCCTTTTTATCTCTAGTGATGCGGCATCTCACTGTCACTCCCTGGGGACATGGTTCCATCACAAATGCAGTTAGGTTATCTAGCATTTCTTCTAATTTGCCAAGACCTTTCTCCTCTTTTTCTTCATCTTTCTTTTCTGTGCTATCTGACGTAAAATCTGATGCATCGTGAACCTGTACAAACAGTATAATATGAGAGATAAACAAAAGTTCTTAGGGAAAAGCAACTCCTTTCAGAAAAAACTAACTAGAGCAAGAGGCGAATCTCTTCTCCTTAGTGTGTTATCTCCATTGATATTCTCTTCGCTAAACACGGGTGATAATAATTCTTCTTTTGTATACTTATGGGACCATATTTCGCTTGAGGAATCGGGACTGAGGCCACTAGAAGGTCGGGAATTACTTATTGGTATGCTCTCCTGATCTTCCTGAGTTATATTAGAATTTACTTTCTGATCTAATTCTGTAAATATTTATCTTATAAGTTTTAATTGAATTAATTTAGCCATGTTTAATAGAAAAAAAGAAAAGAAATTAAGAATAATCACCTGAATTGATAATGAGAGAATTCTTTCTATCTTTCTCCTCTGGAGAAAATGCAGGAGTAACTTCAACGGTCGACATGGCATCAGGATTTCCTGGCACCATTGAGTATTGAAGAGGTCCATCATAACCTATAAAATGATGGTTCCCTCAATTAACTTAACAACAATAATAATTTTAATGCAATTTACAATAACATACAATAATGCTTACAATGTAATATATTTTGGTTATTATTTTGTATATTATATCCTGACATCAAGGGTTTAATTTCTTCTCTAGAACTAGATCGCCAGTTGGCAGAAGCCGGACGAGCATCCGAAGCCTGAACAAGACCTGGAGTTTGCCTCTTCAAGCGTTGTTTCTGCTCCAGAAGCTGCCGCTGAAATCAGGCAAAAGTTTCTACTTTTAATTTGCCAAAATGTTTAAAGGTACTTCATTAAAATAATACATGCAGAATTATTACTAAAATATTCTAATAATTAAAACATGCATTAATATTTCAATACTTAAAAAAATTAATTTATTAAATTTAAGCAGAACACAAGTAGACATATGTATAAGTAGAATTACCATAAGTTAAAATTAAATGACATAAGCAGTTATAGTAAATGATGAAAGTGCACAGTCATATATATATAAAAACCTGTATTAAATAATAAATAATGAGCAGTGACTTAGAAAATAATCCATCCGATTTCTCAAGATTTTAAACATTAAAAAAATAAATGTTATTTTTTTAAGTAAAAAATATTTTCTTATCTTTGTCATGTACAAAGAATAGAATTCTTTTTAAAAGATAAATTCCAAAGTGTGTATATTAGAAAAGAATGCAACAATTCTGTAAAATATTTCATACCCCTACAGAATGGAGGATGTATAAATTCTAGAAAAAAGACATTTTTCTTTAAATTATAAATGGATTTTTTTTTTAAATTTAATTGTTTGCCAAACAGCTGTTGAATGCTAGATAACTTCTTACAGTACTTTTACCAGCTATTGTTATATTTTAGGAATTTTAAGAAGGAAAAATGTGAAAAAATACAAGGCAAAGTTTTTAAAATAAACTTTGTTGTAGTTAATGTGGGAGAACGTATTAAAATCCAAATATATTTTTAAAGGGAAAAAATTAATTTAACTTACCATCATGATCAGCATGAGAGGCATATTGCTAGTGGTAGTAGGAGTGGGAGTAACTGAGTTGAGTGTGTGAGGTTTTTCCTTTCCTTTCCGGCCGCATCACGCATGTGTGCTAAAAGTAGCGTACGTTTTCTATCGAAGCGATTACTACTCGAAAAATTCGATTCGATAAAATTTGGTGATGTTGAACTCAAAAAAAAACTTATATATTTCTAACGGTTCTCTAACCGTTTCCGTTTATTTGACGTTTATGTGCGAATGGAAGAATCGTTTATGGGGGCGAGTGCACTCTAGAGAGGTTAATTCGACAGTCTCGAATTAATGAATCGCGTAAAAGTTTCTTCTCGACTGATTTACGCCACGTTTCTTTCTTTTTTCTTTTTATTTCACAAATAAAACAGTAGGGCAAATCCAAAAGCGGATAATTACCAGAGAATCCCCCTTAAAAACTCCCTGGTGTATAATTATGCGCGAGATTACTACAAGGACGCACGCAAATCTATTCTAAAGGTGATTTAGCTCCCTGCCAATGTTTTCATCTTCTATATAATCTCCTGGGTCATATTAAATGGAAAATGAAGCGAAAATTTGAATCTTATTGTAAATCAACCGTGTATAATCCGCACTTGGTAAAGGAACAAAATAAAATTTCACACTGTCTTATATAAAATTATAACGCTTTCTTTTATTATTAAAATTTGCCTCCCTAGCTGACTCTTATTAAAACTGCTGATCGGCAATTTATAGAGTAAAAAAAAAAAGAAAAGAGAGCAAAATTACTTTCCACGAAATAAAATTTACTTTCTTACAAGAAATTGTAATTTTTCTAAACTTATTCAGATTAATGCGCATCTTTAATACTGATAGCTTTTTTTATTTTTTTAATAAAAAAATTTAGTTTATAGGAAACAAAATAAAATTGCGAACACGCTCGACTCGAACTTCCTTTTCGTTCCCCCCTTAAAACACTCATCGACAATTTATAATTAAACTTTCTAGAAATCCTTTTTTAAAACTAAACTCCTTGCTTCAAATTGAATTTTTCCTAAACACTTTCCCAATAGTTCGGTATATAATCAACTTCAAGGTGATTTATCTGTCAAAGTTATTTTTTATTGATTTTAATCTTTTTTTTTAAAAAAAAAGAAAAAAAGAAAACGAAAGGAAAATCGATACGAACTTCTGACGTAACTATTACTATCAAACTTTTTCCAATTACTTCTGGAAACTGTTTACAGTCTAGCAATACACAAAAACAACTTCATGAAAGACTTACTTGTCTGTCTATCTTCTGCTGGCGAACCGTCATCGATGATTTCGATTGCTCTTCGTCCATACCACCGGGAGGAACGGAATTCCACTCCGAGCTAACATAATAAAAAACGGAATTTTAAACATGTTAACACTAACGTAAATGTTTCTCGATCATACACACGCAACTACGAACAGCTCTTCGTCCATTTTTATATTTCCAGCTAACGGAAAAACATAATTTTATGTAAATTATCCCGTTTTGCCATCATTTAATCCCCCAAACACTACATCTATCTGTATATAATTATGAAACGGGAGGAACGTAACGATGTTAATAACGAGAACACAAATTAACACACATGTATCGTTTAGTTACCCATTTTATCCCCCCAAACACAACATATATGCACACAAAACTGAACAGTAACTATCTATTTTTTAAGGGCCAATGACTTCAGATAACCCGTGTCGTGCCGAGAGTGAGAATAAAACACCAGCTGATTAAACGATATCGGTGTGCATCCATCATTAAGATGTCCAGAAATTCGTGTGTTTAAACTAGAATAATAATTCTTCCGGATAGGAAAGCATTTCCCGATATTTATAGGAATTTTACAGTCCTCTGCAGGACCGTTTCGTATAGGTAAAGCTGTCGAGTGAAAAGAAAAATCAATCATAAAACTATCGGAACAACTTCGCTATCAAGGCGAAATGTTTTTTAGTTTCTATAACTGTAGATAGATGGTCGGAAATAATAAAAAAATGTCAATGTAAAACGTGAGGGATAAAATAAATGTGTGGATAGCTAATAAACCACGTTGCTCCCATTACATCTGTACTTTTATTAGTATAAATTACGAGGTAAGTTTCCATCTGGGTGAAGAAAACAACCCAAAAGTGTGGGTCGATAATACAATGGATATATTTATAAAATAGACCGTACGTGAAGAGGAGGAGAAGTCTATAATGTATCGATTAATCAGATCTATGAAAACACTTTTGACTTTTATGAATCATGTATCTGAAATCTGTCTCATCTGCCAACGATTTATATTTTTATTTACTGAATAACTCCATCAGAAATGGTTCGATCGTTTTAGCGATATTGCTGTAATTCCTGTCGTCCTCCTTTCACTTGCATTAGCGAATTCGAAGACTAGGCAGTTGGCATTTCCCCCTGCCTTTTGTGAACGTGAGAAATGTGAATCATACTTCCGAAGTGATAAAAAGTAACTGTATAATAATCTAATAAATCCCGAATATGATCTATGCTAAATACAGCGATGAAGTAATATTTGAATACGTTTAATTTTAGTATGATCTAATTGAGATAAATTCAGATGTGTAGAACAAAAACACGTGATAAAAGTTTAAAGTATAACACAGTGTTTCTCAACGGGGGCGATATCGCCCCCATGTGGGCGTTTTTCCATGTTGAGGGGGCGATTTGTAACAATTTATATTTTGGGGGGCGAAAAACAATTTTCTGGGCGATATAGTAAAACATTATATTAAGAATAATTAGATATTTTATTTGTTATATCGTTCAATAATTAAACAAATAACATTATACTAGTCACTAGTCTGTTCAATGCAGTACGAATTTGGCGTTAGCCTTGGCCCTCGGCATCGGAATTTTGAAGTGAAGGGGGCGATACTACGTAACGGTTTCATTGAAGGGGCGATACTACGTAACGGTTTCATTGAAGGGGCGATACTACGTTGAAGGGGGCGACGATTCGTTAGAGGTTGAGAAACACTGGTATAACACTTAAGCATGGGTATTGCCGATTCTACAACTAACATGAAGTAAATATAATGAGAAATTAAGCAAGCCTGTCCGTTATCAGTTCACTGTTTTTTAACTTGGATGAATAATCTGAGAAAATTTGCAATTACCTTCATAAATCGTAATATTAATTAAACGAAATTTATTAAATTATTCTTTTTTTTCTGATTGTAATTGTAATATTATTAAGTTATTGCTGTATATGTAAATAACAATCCATTCTAACCCAGCTCTTATTTTAACTAAATATAAAAACACCTTACCATAAGTTTTCTTTACCTGACGAGGGAGGGTTCGTAAACAGCCGAAAAACGTTTGTAAATTGTGTTCGAATTCGGAACGGCATCGAACATTTATTTTCAAATTTAAAATGCAATTAACAAGAATATAGTTAGGATTTTAAAGTTGAAATCCGACTTGTAGTCCTTAAGCTTACTAATAATTATATCGCTTAAACATTTATCTCTTATTTATTGCGATATTAATTCACTAAAAGTTAATATTTAAACTAATATAAAATAATAGTAAGCGAATTAACATTCTCTAATGACCCGTAAACCTGGTATCACTAAAATTCATAATCCAAAATAGTCTCTGGTAATAAACAATATTTACGAGATAGTTCATTACAAAAATTCTATTAAAAATGCAATAATTTAAAGCAAGATTCAATCGAATTTATACAAAGTGTATAGGAAAAATGTAAACGGTAGACAAAATAAATGAGCGAGTAATAGACAGTAAAAGACAAAGCACATGTATACCGATATAACACAGAACCGGATTAAGTGGATCTTCCAATTTTAGCCTTACCGTCAGTAAACACCTTTACGACTCGACTTAATAGCTTCTGATCAAACAGTAGAACGTGGATTCACTCGGCTTCCTATCATTAACCTTTGCCTTTATACCAGTATAATACGCATACATACAGAAGCCGTGCGTTCGAAAAGTACAGAACGAATTAGACTTATAAAGAGAATCGAACAATAGACAGACGAGTGCACAGGTGTCAAGAAAATGGGTCGCATAATCGCTGTATTGACACAACCCCATAATGCTCAATTAATATAACTGCGAAGAGTATATTAACTACTGTATATATAATTATCCGAGGGAACTGCATATAGTATCTATGCAAACAAATATCTTATAGAATACAGCATAATTTATCTCCGCTATATACCTCTAGATAAGAGATAAAAAATTAGCATATCGATCAGATTCCATAGTGCATTATAAAACAGCGCATTGTAATAAATTTCTTGATATAATATAATATAGAACATCTTACCTGTTAAAGGCGCGCGACCACATGTGAACGTTACCGCGGGCGATCATTATATTTTTTTCCAAGTCTTAAAAGTCTAAATCGACAATTATAAGTCGAAAAGCAGATTGTGTGACGTAAACACTAAAGTATGGCATGGTTACTATGGTAACTAGAATGGCAAACAATCTGAATGGACGAAGATTCCAGATAAAAATCCAACCACCCTCTTAATTAATTGAATCGCCTTCCTTCGTTGAAAATTAATTCATTTTATTTTATTAATTTTTCCCCCTCGTTGTTTCTCGCTTTGGTTAATTTTAATGAGGAGGAAGCGTTTCCAGTTCTTTAGCAAAATTTTAAAATGATTACAAAATTCGGGAGGGTTCTCTAACCAATGAGCGTGAACTTCACTATATCATTTGTGGTAATCGATAGCGTGACTGTTGCCTGCTGTAGCTTTTGATTGGTCTGACGTTCTTGAATACCAATTTACCACTTTTTCATTTTTTTCTTGGATGTAAAAAGATTTTCTTACTTATTAAAAATTATTCATTTCTTCCTTCTAAAATTCCAAATACAGTAGGAAGTAATTTTTTAAACGATCTATGCACTTTCAAACATGACTTATTTAAAATATTTTTAGGGGCAGAGTTCACATTTACTTAATAAATAAATATATTTAGATGGTTGTTTTTCTAAAGTAATTTCTTCTGGCTAAAATTAGACATTTACTTAAAGTTTTGAAAGACGATAGCCAAAGCAAGAGTTGAAAAGATACATTTCTCAGAGATAAAACAGATGGCCAAGTTTATATTAATTCTCTGAGGAATCTGGAAGATTGAACTGATATCTGAAATGCTCCAAGATTTCTACTTGTCAGGAGTCTTTAGGGAAATCGTAACAAAAATTCTTAGATGAATTTACTAAGAAGCAGGAAAGAACAGATGAATTTTTCAACTATTCCAGGTCAAAAAGAAAAAAAAAGCATCACTTGGTCTTGGAGTTATTCTAAGTTATAAAAAAAAACAACTAGATAATTTGATTTTGCTTACTTTTCTGAAAATTAATAAGTGATTATTTTCAATGTTCCAAAAAAATTTCATTGCTAAAACTGTAAAAATTCAAATTAGCATCTTTAAAAAGAGGGTGGTTTTGAAAGTGATTTATTTATCTGGTTTGTAACCAAGTATTAATGAGCTAGAAAATTTATGCATATATCCATCCCTGTTATGTTATTTTACAAAAAAATTATAATGAAGTATCATTAAAAGCTCCAGGCTATCAATTGAATTTAGGTAGTCATACTATTTACTGTGAATTATTCTTTGAAAGAAGTTTGTTTTTGGTGCATAATTACAATATTTGAAAACTGCTGTTTGGATAATACTATGGACTAAGTTTATTCTGATTCTGATTAATACTCTTGATTTTGGCAACAAGAGCATTGCCGTCCTCTTCTATTATTCACAGAAAGTTTCTTTACTTAAGCAAATCGTTATTTTTTTTATTCTTTAATCTGCTTATCGGAAAACTCCAAAATATGATAAATAATATACAAGCATTTAACATATTTTCTAAATAGATAAAGCAACAATTTAAATAATTCAGTTATTCGATTTAAATTTTGTTAAGCTAAAAATAATCATTAAGGTAAATTTTGAATGTCAAGTAAAATCTCTCTTACTAAATGCCTATATTTAGAAAATTCTATCATTATCTGAACCAAAGAAAATAAAATAAAGGAGCCAAGTTTAAATTTAGTAATTAAGTGTTCCCGATGATGGATGTAATTTTGAAAGCACTAAAATTTATAATTTTAAGTTCTGTTTTATTTTAAACACTCCATTAAAGCAAACTTTATTAAAAAAGTATATCACGAAGCCTTTTTCTAAGTGGAAAAAAATAATTAGTATTTTAGGTCTCTGCAAAGTAAATTCAACATTGAATTATGTATTATTGCTTAATTTCTATCACTTTTCATATTTTATTTTTTCTCAACATTATGAAGCTTACATAAAAGTATTCTACTTCTTTTTTTTAGTTTGATTTTTACGGTAAGATAAGCATTACTATATGAGGATGTTGGTCTTAGTACAAAGAAACATGAGTGTTGTTTCAAATAAGTTACAAATTTGGAAACTTGTTCCTAATTTGTACCTAGTGATATGATATTAAATTATCAGTTTTCTCATTATCATCTCATATCATAAAGCAAATTAAGGAGAGAAACATATATGGTTGAAACATTTATGTTTTATATATATTTTAGTACAAAAAAATGAGCCTGTACAGACAATGAAAATTCATACCAAAATAAATATATAATAAAATAAATAAACATATTCATATGTATATATAATATAAATCACTTAGTTTGGCTGATGGTACAATAATTTGTTATAGAGTAGACTGTATCATATTTATTTGCTTGTCAGGAATAGCTGCCAAGTCAGTGGAAAAATGTAGTTAGTGGTTTACTGAGTTGTGCAAAAATGATACTTCAGAACCATCATTTAATTGTTTTTCCTCCCAAATTGTCTTTGCAATAAAGTGCACATTTTTATCTCTTAGTTTTAAAAAGATTGAATATTGATGAACTGTTGGTTCCCGAGAAATTTCCACTTTCTTATATTCTGATTATCACATTCACTATATTTCTTCTTTGTCATTTTGTGTACTTCAGATAAGTGTTTTCTTGCATCTTTTTGATTTTATATTGAAATGACAATGTTAAGACAACCACTTCTTTTAATATCTCTCATTTTTGGGCCTGCAAATTCCCACTGTTGTCCATCCTTCCTTAATCATGAGAATGGAGTTAGATAGATGAAAATTAGACTGGAAGCTCCAATTATCTATATATATGAACTTCGACTCTAGAGTGGAAGTTGCGCGACTTTTTAAGTTAAAAGATGACAAGCTAGCTTTTGACAAGCAATTACTTGTCAAAAGCTAGCTTGGCTTGAATAATGGTGCCACTCAATTAATGTCTCTTAAAACAATATTTCTGACACTAAAGCATATGCTCTTTCTTCCACAGAAGATCTACTAGTGATGCATTGTTCTGCAGGGGTCCCCAAACTTTTCAAGAGGAGGAGCAAATTATTAATTCTGACAATAGAAGCAGGTTGGAGAGATTTAATATCTCACACACAAATATATACATATGTAAATTAAAAAAATTATAATCATAGAACTTTATTAAAAATTAAGAAAATTCATTACAAATATTGTAAGTAAAATATTTTTTTAAATTGTCCAGAAGCAATGCAGGCATAGTTTTGAGACCACTGACATAAGGAATCAACTGTAGCAAAGTTTAAATGTCTGGAAAGCTATATTATGAACAGCTATCATTTGTTCTATATGTTGCCTCAAACATTTCTCTTCAGCTCAGATGTAATAATTATCCAAGAACTTGAAAAAAGCAGAATTGAGCAGTTGTATCCTGTGAATATTTTTGATTGGTAATTAAAGCATTATGATTCCATTTCCTTGGGTAAAGTAGTGTAGTGCTTCTAGATTTTCACTATAAGTGGAATATCCATTGAGAAATAGGAAGCCTTTATTTTTTTGCATTGCTTGTACTTGTGATTGAAGCATCTTAAATCACAGTACAAACTTAAGAAATTACGTATCTTGTATCTGAAAAAGTAAACACCTGTTCCTGTAGATGCTCTGATAGCAAGCTCTGGATCATGCTACTCCCTCTTAAAAATGATCATTGAAAGAATGGTACTACTTAATGGTACAAACACAAATAAGAAATGGTACTTATGTTATGTATCTGGTAACCTTTTTCTTTATTGAAGGCATTTGTAATTCCATAATGTTGGGTAACCTCAAAAGCCAGTTTTCTAACATCTTAGATGGTCAGTCCAAATATCTTCTTTCAAACTTGAGAATGTGAACTATTAGTTCCTTTCCCATTTGTTTGCAAAAACACAATTTACTAAGTGTTTAACCCTTCTCCATTTAATACATGTGCCATTTGATTATTGGTTTAGGCACTCCAAAAATCCTTAAAACTGCTTTGAGCCTTATTATAGCTTTTAATGGCATCAATTAAAGATTAAGTTCACCTTCATCTTCCAAAAATATTTCTGCTTTGGCATATCATCTGAAATGACACAAAAGGTAATGGTAACATTTACTTCAAAGTGTTATAGACTGTTTCTCTAAAGTAAATAGAAGACAAATGAAATAACAGTAAAATCTAATTCCAAGAATGGAGTAAGGCCTGCACAAAGCATGCAACTGTCTAGGACCCGATCTGATGGGCCCATGAACTGTAAACTTTTATTTAATTTAAATTTGAATTTACATAATTACTGAACAAAGTGAATATAGTTTCAGTGTATTAATTGTTCTATTTTCATATGAATATAATAAATAAAATTTATCTTTCTTTTATGGTAAGAGCCTGGATCACAAATTTTGCATAGGGTCTGAAAGTTTCTACTCCAATCTGCCTAATTCCCTAAAATGTACCACTACAATTTAAGAATCTAGTGGCACAATTTAGAAAATGGTGACATTTTGAACTTTGAACATTTTGACAATTTTATGATTTACTTCATATCAAGAAGAGAATGATATTAAAAAAACGTAAAATGATATAAAAGTACCATATGACTTTATAAGACTTGGTACCATTGTATCCTCTTAACAATTGAAACTGCTTGTTTAAGGAAATCAAACACTGTTTGCTTTATTGAAAATTGTTTTTGACTACTTTCAAGCTACTTATTCAAGCTTAACTACTTATTAGTCATAACTCATTTTAAACTTCTGAAATAAACAAAGTATTCTGTTATATTCATTCCAGAACATTGTATATTTAAATTCCATCTCTTCAAAGTAAATTCAATGGAATGGGGTTTTATTAGAATTAGAATTTATAATATATTATAATTTTAGAATATAGAATTTATTTAGAATTAGAATTTAGAACCTTTTTGCATTAACTTTCTGTTGTTTTTAGCCTATTTTCATAATGTGGCCTAATTATACAAGTTCTTTACTCTGTGTTCCTCTTAAATGCTTTTAACTAACCGTTCTATGTTTGTTTTACTTAACAGCACTTTCCAATTGCTTGGCAACTCCATTGTGTCATTTTTACTTATTAATATAATAATTTTAATAAATTTATTTATATGTTTTGATAAAAAATAAGCATATATTTGTTCTAAGATTCTAATTATCTTTTCTCTAGATTCTTGTATTAGATCCAGTTTTGCCTGTTTTACTCCCACTTTTTGTGACTATGATAACATTTTGTTCTCCTTGGTATTTTCTTTCTGTATTTGTTGCTGTTTTGTAGCCACTTTAATGATAATATTCACCACTTTTTCTGGGAAGCCATACTCTAATGCTAAATTCTCAATCTTTTTTAACTGTAATTCTATCTTGTATGTTGCTTGAATGCATTACTACTCAATTTGCTAAAGCTTTTGTGCTGCTAGTTTGTGTGCCATTGTCATCAGTGTTCTAGTGTATATATGTGTCAGTTGCATCTTTGTGGAACACTTTTATACTTAACTTTGTTCCTTTCTT